ATCTAAAGATACTAACTCACGTCTAGGTAGATGGGCTCTTGAACTGCAAAATTATAATTTTGAAATTATATATAAAGAAGGTAAAAAGAATACTAATGCAGATGCTTTGTCACGAATTCCATATGATGATATTGAATTCGTGACAATTAGGTCAGTCTGGTGAACTTAGGTTGAATTTTATACTAAATTTACTAAATCAGGCACGAAGAGAAAAAGACCAGTTAGTTAATTTGTGAAACAGACAAATCCGTAAAGAAATATTGAATGTTATAAAAAAATGTAGTGTCAAAATAAATTTATAAGTCTTTATATCTGTCGGTTTCAAGTTGCCAAGTATGCAATTTAGCTTTCTTTAGTGACCAAGTAACAACACGAACTATTAGTATACTAACAATTTAGGCCAATGATATTGAATTAGGCCAAGTATGAACCATAAGAATTTTTACTGCTATCTTTGTAGTATTTAAAATTGAGTGCTCAGCTGAAGTCTAGACCAGCTACCGTGATTCATCTTGACACAATTCAACTTCAACTTCGAAAATGTATAATTATAAAACCTAGGTTGGTCGCATACTTTAGACAATAAGCTGTTTTGTGGTAAATTTGCACTCCAAAGCACAGATAACTTATATATACTATAGAAATGAAAAGAAGTTATTCAGCTAAAAAAAAGATCATGTGATATACTGAAATACTGAAAATAAATATTTTGAAGAAAAGTAGCTAAAAATTACAAATAATTGTGCTGCCACCTGCAAAACAGGAAACAGTTGTTTTACAAAAAGATTATGACAAATAGGTATGAAATATATAAAATCGACGTCCACTTGAATAGTAATCGAATAATGTTATTCTAAAGTAAAGAGAATACAAACTTGGTAAACAAATTATTGTTGTTTGTCCCAAAACATTGAAGATTTTATTGTATACCATTAAAGCTTACTATAATTATCTGATTTTGTTTTAGTCATAGCTGCACTCGCAACTATTGTTTCAGTTAAGTAGGCCAAAACTTGTAAAGTATCTAGAAATTTGAGTATATTTTAATTGCGCGACCTCGTTACCTTTTGAAATAACCAATGAATATAGATAACTTAATTTACGAATAAAACTGTGTAAAACAAAATTTGTTGTAAATAATGGGTAAACAAATGTTAGTTCTGATTTTTTTTTCTTTGATGTACATAAATTGTCTTATTACTTAGTATGTATTATGTTATGATTATTTATGCATTAGCTAACTATTTCTTTTGTCGTTTCATATTCCTGAGTATCCTGCTAGTGATTGGTCCGGGACTACAGCCTCGAAAATTCATCATCTTAGAACTAAGAAAAGACCCAAGATCATTTAAAGAAAAATACAGATACATCGTGATAGTAATATGGACTCAAAATTTAAATGACTTTATGGAAATTGACAGAAATAGAAAAACTGTGTAAAATTATGTATATAGAACTTTTTGTTTTCAAAACAGTGAAATATATTCTAGCCGAAGAGCCAGCACATCAAGACGACAGAGTAACAAAGAAAACTTGAACTATTAGAAATTTTACTTGTTATCTCATATTAAACTTCATCTTGTTCTCCTAACATAAACTAATTTTTGGGGACAAAAATTTTTAAACAAAGGGGTAATATAATGATGCAAAAATACGTGATATTTAAAGATAGTATTTACTAATAAATTACAAGTAAAGTTTTGTTAAATAATGGAAAAATGCACAGAAGTTAAGGAGAATATTTATTACAAAATAAGTAAACCGAGAAATGAACGTAAATAAAACAAATAAAACAAGTTTAAGAAAGTTTAATTTGTGTATAGAACAATTTCCTAAAATTATCATGTAAGTGTTTTATCTTTTAAAACATATTTAATAACGTTGTCTCAAACATATCCCCCGGCTAATTGATAAATGTGTCAGCTTAGAAGGCATAAAGATAATTATACATACTTTTGAAATTAATAGACTTGAACAATTAAGATTAAGTAATTCTACCCTTATCCGATATTTCATTGTTTATTTAGAATAGATCAAAGAAAACTATTGTACTGAGTAACAAAATATTCACGTGTCAGATGAAGTCCAGTTCTGCTATATAAAGTCGTGCAAAATTATTTGGTTCATTAGACTGTGAACCAGAATAAAATGTAGTTAGCAGACTGGATTGTCTTTTTAGGTTAGTAAATATTTTACTGTTGTTTGATAGATTGCTTTTATAAATTTAGAAGAAATGAGTTTAAAGATTTAAAAGATGTTTTCCAGTAAAGTAAATTTTATTCATATTCGCAAGTAAAATCGTGATATAGATTAAATAAATTATAGGCAAAGTTAAAAATAATATTAAGGTAAATGATTTAAATAAAAGGTTCTTAACTTATAAAAAGGATATTAAACTTCTTTGTAAAGATAACTTTTGAAAATACAATTCTTATTTTGATACTTGATTAAATATTAAAAGTAAACGAGTTAAGGGGAGATAAAAAATGACTTGACTGTTCATTTATGGCGCGTATATACTATTGTCGGGTTTTGTATTATTGTTCGATTTAGATCGCGGAATATTTGGTGTATAACTATGTTGGGAAAAGAAATGTAATTTGTATTGTAACTGTTGTAAATATGATTAGACTGTGAACCAGAATAAAATGTAGTTAGCAGACTGGATTGTCTTTTTAGGTCCCGTTGTCATGCCGAGTCCAAGCTAGTTCCCAAATAATGTAACATCAATATGAGCAGTTCCCCGCAAAAAGAATTGATAAAATCATGAAAGAAAGACCACAACACAGATTACAAAGACGGGACCAAGTTCCCGCATAATAAATGTAATGGAATTCTATGCGAATGACATACAAGTGATAGGTTGAGCTAGCTATAAAACCAGGTTTAGTCCACCATTTTCTACATTAGGAAATACCTGTACCAAGTCAGGAATATGACAGTTGTTTTCAGTTCGTTTGATGTGTTTGAGCTTTTGACTTTGCCATTTTTAAAATAAAGGGCTTTCCGTTTTGAATTTCCCTTGGAGTTCGGTATTTTTGTTATTTTACTTTTTCCTTCAGAACAAATTAGAGAGTTCTTATTGTGACTAGTATAAAAATGACATTAACGGTACCAATGTTGCTGTACCAGATGCGCATTTCTACAATAAATGTCTCTTCAGTGATGTTCGAGGCTAAAATAGTTGAAAATCTAAAACTTATTCAAAATAGTTAATAAAACCAAAAAAGACATAGCCAAGGCTGGGTAAGGAATCAGAGCTTTGCACGATAGTATATTCCCTAATTTAATATCATTTCGAAAATTTTAAAACAGCGAATTTGAATAACACAATATCCGTATGTTCTTGGCAGTATAGAAGCTCTGGCTACTGGGCTGGTGATAACCTCTGGTAACAGATACCAGCAGAGGTATCGACCCAGTGGTAATAATAACATTACCGTACAAATTTACTGTACCAGATGCGCATTTCGACAATAATTGTCTCTTCAGTGGTGTTCGAGGTCAAAATATTTGAAAATCAAAAACTTATTTAAAATTGAAGAGCTGATAAAAATGGACAAAAACTATAGCCAAAGCCGATCAAAGAATGAGAGCTTTGCATAATGGAGATATATTCCAGTTTTCATTTCTCACAATTTAAACATTTTAGCTTAATATAGAAATAAGAAAATGTGGTATGATTTCCAATGAGACAACTCTCCACCAGAGACCAAATGACATAGAAGTTTACAACTATAGTTCACCGTACGGCCTTCAGCAATGATCAAATGCTATACCGCATAGTCAGCTATAAAAGGCCCCAAAATGACAAATGTAAAACAATTCAAACTGCCTGATTTATGTACAAAACAAATGAACGAAAAAAAACTATGATATACAGCAACAAACGACAACCACTGAATTACAGGCTCCTGACTTGGTACAGGCACATACAGAATGTGGCGGGGTTAAACTAGTTTGTTGGTGCTAGACCTTCCTCCTACCTGGACCAGTGGTGTAACAGTACAACATAAGAACAAACTATAAAAATCAGTTGAAAAGTGCATAACTCATCAGATCGATACAAAGCAGAAAAACATCTAACAAAAACACAGACCTGACGAGAAAGGGTATTTATACATCTTTACAACAAAAATGACACTCAGTACAGATCTGAGAGTACTCGCAGTTGCTGACAGCTAGTTCAAAGCCAATAACAACTTAATTTGTTCTGAGCATAACTTCATTCTATGTACATGTGTTATCTTTTAATATGCCAGTTTACAATCAGTGCGTTAAATAGCACTCTGGTTTTCATACATGAGATTATTATGAGGCACATCTACCATAAAATTTAAATGCAAAATCACGGCCAAGTAAAATAAGAATAAAATCGCTCCAAATACAAAGTAAACAGCACTTTCAAAAGTGCTATGTTTTGTCAAAGCTGACATACTTTCACAAAACGTGCTTGATGCTAATTGATTGAATTGTTGGTAGGACTCCTACACATTTATTTTTGTCTTTATACTACTAATATTTTAACTAGTTATGAAGTCTAATTATAACTGGAGTTATTGCGAATTGCTAGAATTTTCGAATCAAAATGAAAATGTAGACGGTTAGTTAATGAACTGCAACATGTCAATTTTCCTATTTCGGACAGACACAAAAGAACATTTTCTAGTATATGACAGTTTTTACTTCCTTCGTCAATGTACGATGAAGTTGAAGCTACCAAGAAAAAAAATTCTAATATGTATACGAGAAATATTTGAAATTCAACTTTTCGTTATTCAACTTACTATACATTGACTATATAAATTTTTTTAACGTAGAACAGATGAAAATCTGTCTTTTTGAAGATGCTGGTATTTTAGGAACTGTATACGTTGTTATGATTGGTTTTATTATTAGCAAGAAGTGTGATTGCAGAAAGTCGATGATGTCAGAAACTTCCTTAACACTAAATAAGATATGTAACTGGGTTTTATGCTGATTAACAATTGAATCACAGACAAATTTTTGGTTTTTATTCATTTGTATCATGTTCACTGGAATTTCAGAAAAAGATGCTTTTATTAAAAATACGTCATTAATATTTTAAAATGCGTTAGATAACTGATTTTAAACCTCAGTCTGCTCTAAAAAAAAATATGTCCATAATGTTATTATTCAGAAGACAGAATATACAAAATGCTGACATTTTGTGTCCGTCCTTGGCCTTTCGTCGTCATTTAAGGGAAATAACACCACACGAATATTTGACGACCGAGCAAAAATGATAGTGCTGACGATATGCTTTCGAATGGTATATGATTGAGCCGTATGTTCGATGGGTGAATTAAAAATGAATTTTTAATGTGTATGTCACTTGTCTATCAATTTAGATAGTTCATTACTATAACAAAAATAATGTTAAAAACAAATTTGGTTTCGACGCATGCGCTAAATACTACTGGTTCCAAAAATCTATTATTACGAAAATTGCGGAGAGTTTTCCTTGACAATTCCGATTTATGATAACAATGACGTCATAAAAAGAACGCTGATGCATATATATTTTCAAACAAAACATCTATTTCCTATCTAGTCATTGTTAAAGGAATATTAAATTTTGATAATGACCATTATATCCTAATATGAAAATTAAGCTAGTAATAGGGATAAAATTTGGGCATTATCGAACGTCCTCCTTTCTTCGGAGAGATCCGAACGATTTTAAACACGGGTAAGTGGATTTGTTCTTAAATATACTTTAATTGTGATAAAACTTTTGAATTTTGAACAGAACTAATTGACTCAACAGTTTTTTGATTGCGGATATCACACTGAAATAGTGTTGTTGAAAATATGTTATGCAGGTCCATCCGTAATGGTTTGAATAAAAGATTTACAGAAAAGTAAATTGTGAACTTATTTTACCAAAAAATCAAATGGCCCAAATTTTTATTTCTACTATTTGAATTTTATGAAGCTGTTTGGAATATTTTAATATATTTTCATATATAAAATATGCGAATTTTGTAATCAATGTGTTAGGATTTTCTTCCACTGGCTGTAGCCATTCTACGCCTCAATGAAAATAGAGCATTTTCCTTTTCTTTATCTCTTTTCATTTGTTCTTTAACCATTTTATGTGCATCTCTAGTGCTTAGAAATTTAGCTGGAGCATCAATACTTATTTCCGAAAATGTATCACTACTAGAAACTGGAGTAAATCTAGAGGGGAAACGGCGATTTGGGGTTCTAGATCTTTTTGGCAATTTACTTAAAGATCCATAGCCTGTTGCAAAACTTAAACTACTCTCGGATCTACTTTCTGGTCTTTTGTTTTCTACCATTAGTCTCATTGTGTCTGTCGGTGATCTATCGGCATGCATGTTTTCCGTATATTCTCGAAACGACATGGAGGATGCAGATCTGTTTAATGGTGAAGGTGAGTTATCGTCAATGAATTTAACTCTGTGTTGAGAGGATGAAAATTTATCACGATGATGGTCATTTTGAGTGGGTGGTTTGATGATAAAAACTGAATCATTAGAAGATGTCGTATGACCCTGGGCCTTCTTTGATAACAGGCCGCCTAGTGGTCGGGGGGTTTCATTTTTACTCCAAGCCTCCATGACGACTTTTATTCTATTTTGAATACTTTCCATATTATGTCGCTCTAAATCTTGATGAAGTTGTCTTTTTAAATTCTTTTCGCTCAGAATGGGATCCCCATCCACATTATTTACTTTATTTCGTGATGATGTTCGTGGTGAACATTGAGCACTTATTTCATTCTGGTCTGAAGTACCATCTTTAGCTTGCGATTTTCCATCCTGTTCAATAGTTTCTTCTCGATAGTTTCTCAAAACTACTTTATAATGCTTTGTTTTTCGATTCCTTGCATCCGACATAATTTCTGACACTGTTGTCTTTTTAACTTTATGCCCCAAAAGGGATTTCATAATAGGTATTTTGTTGTTAACTTTCATATCAGACGACACAGTAGGTGTTATAATTGATGTTCGTTGTCTGACTAATGCCATCTGCTCCTTGTTTGGGTCTTTTGCCATAAAATATGCTTGAATTGCATTAGGTTTATGTAAAGCCGGTGCAGGCTTCAAAATGAATTCCCCGTTCTTTTCTTTGAGTTTAACACATGCTTTTCCATTTGAAAGATGTTCAAATGCCTTAGCTCTAATCATAATTTTTCTAGCTTTTGTTTGATCTAATTTCATATCAACGTGACCATCAATACCTGGTTCAAGGTCTTCAATTGGCATGTCATCCTCATTGCGCTCATTTACAACATTTTTCAATTGCTCCCAAGCTTTGTTATTGGACTGCTTTTGTTGTTGCTGTTCAGGTTCTGGTTTCCCAAGCAGAGTGTTTGTAAGTTGAAGGATGTTCATACTTTTCATAGCATTACCTATAACATTTCCTAATACATTTGTTGTACTGGGAACTACCGTATTTGGACGCACTTCTTCCTCTACAACTGGTTCTTTAGTCTCCTCACCTGGAAGTGCAACAACTGGAGCTGTTAGAGGGCGTATTTCCACTTCAGATACTGACGACGGACCTATTAAATCCTCGTCGATTATCATGTCAAGACCCCAAGGAGTGAAATTGCGATAGTCATCAAGTAAAACTGGTGACATTCTTACAAAATTCTCCATTAATTTAGTCCTATCTGCTGTTGCCTTGGAGAAAAGATCGGCACCATCAGACCTGTACAATGAATACTGACTGTTCAACAGTTTTTCTTTACGTAGTTGTGCAAATACTTTTCTGACTTTCTTTTCTTCTCTCAGATGTTCATTCATGTCTTTGATAAATTCATTATAAAGCACTGAAACTTTCTTTTGATATTCTTTTAAAGCACTTGTAGATACTGCCATGGTGTTATCGTGCATGCTGATATCGAATCCATGGTCTCTAGCTAGATTTGGTTTTTCTTCTACAGCAGTCGCTGAAAAATAGGATTAATGACCACATTAAATAACGAACTGACAATACAAAAGCGAAACAAAATATTTCATATAATATTTATTTCTGTGATATTTATAAATGGTGTGCTCGTTGATTTCAAGTTAATAGTTTGTTCTTTCTATAAAAGCAAACTGCTTCTATTATTTTGCTTCTCTAAAATGTATTCATTGTGACATTACTATGTACGATTACCCTGTTTAATCTAAAGAGCTTAGTTTCATTCATTGTTCTATAAAATATGAGATTAAAAGAAATGAAACTTTTTGGTTTTTTTTCTTCCACTCGGTCGGTAACGATACTGGTTGGCTACTAAGTGTAGAAGTCTCCTTCGTATGCTTTTCGCCTAGAAGCCAGTACTTCGATACTGGTATATTTTTAACAAAACATTTGTTTCTGTAAATTCCAGTTCAAACACTATGTTATGTACAAAATCAGTGATATAACAGTAATTTTGAAAATAAAAAAAATAACTCTTCTTTTTATTAAGGTAATCTATTAAACATGTAAATAGTTTGTTCACTTATTAATTTTTGACTTTTACACAATTCTCTTCAAATTTGACAGCTATCTTGGATTCAACCGACTACAGACAGCATAGCATATCCCCTTGGTCTAAATGACAATATCATTAACAAGGGGAACTCTATGGGTCATTAAGGCAATATTTGGTGTCTAATGAACTATTACAGTGCTCAAGTCTTCAATATTAAGAACCTACCTGCACTGATGTATGCAAAAACAAATGCCAACATTTACAATTTAATATCAAAGAACTACTACTAACTGTATTTCAAATAAACCATGCCCATTGACCTTATTAAATATATACGTTTTCCGCGTGTTCGCTTTCAACCAATGATATTCCAAGAAGTGTATAGGAGGTAAGATAATAGAAAATGTTTCTCCTTCAACACGAGAATGTGAAACATCGAAGTTTAGATATGCTCCATGTGGTCATGTTATTACACGGAGTTCAGCATAGTTCAGGGCGGAGAGGTTTTAAAATTTTCGAAACAAAAAGATTAAAATATCGGCCTCCATAAAATATAAATTGTAAAGAATGTCGTCATGTCATTAAAGATGCTTTTCCACGAGATTGTGAAAATTGGTGTAAACGGGGAAAATCTGATTAAAAAATACTATAATCTTTTATGAATAAATATATGAATATTGTGGCTATATAGAATTGTGGCTGTATATAACTTCTCAAGAATGAAATGGTTAATTCTTCTAGTTGCTAGGACGTGCGCTTCACGGGAGTCAATAAGTAGACAAAGCATATCATTTCTACATGTCAGCCTGAGGTCTCTTCTGAACTTTTGGAAGTCCCTGCTATGTATTTGCTACCTAAACTACATAAACAAATCGTTAAATATGGTTACATCTCGGCTTCTTGTAAGTGTTCTACAACTAATATTTCCGTCTTTTCAACAAGTTCACTGAAACAGGTAAAGAACTTTTTATTACTTTTTGTAATAAAGCATATAAAATTAAAGGTACTAATCATTTCTGGAGTGTAAAATACTATTTTGATGTTTAGATAGATTGAGTGCTTTTAGTGGTCCTTTCAATTCGGTTGTCAGTTATGACTCTTCTTCGACTCTTCACTACAATTCAACAAAAACATATAAATACAGAAGTTTTCTTATCTATGCAAAGTCTGAGTGCTAACTTATTTGCTGCAACTCATATAAAGTCTTCTTCTGTAATTAAAAAGGTAACAATGTATATACTGGAACTGTGCTGAGATGACTGTTTCAGCAAAAAAAATGTATCGACAGGTTGTAGGTATCCCTATGGACACTAACGGTGTCCCTTTAATAGCAGATCTGGTCTTGTTTTGCTATACATCACAGTTTATGACCATAGTCAGTAAAGATTCGTTTAAACTCCGTTTAATAGACAAATTTTATAAACATTATTGTTACCTTGATGATATATTTGCTTTTAATAATCAACAATTCTCTTATTATACTGCGTTAAAATACCCGAGAACAGACTTTTGAAAAAAAATAATATAAACAACAATAATTGTTCTTTTTCTAGATTGTGATTTTTCAGTTTCTCGTTGGAATATCTGTAGTAGAATTTATGACAAAAGAAACGAGATTTCTTTTGTGGATGGTGACTCTCCTTTTGACCATTTTAAGGTGTGTGTATTATCAAAGTCGTTCGCTATACCCCTATCTGTAGTGACGTTTTAGATTTCAGTGAACGTTATCGTTTTATAACTGATAAATTATAAAGTCCGGAATTTCGTTACCACATATAACTTAAAATCTTAAATACACAGATTTGGTTTTGAAGTTTGGATTTTATACAAACGGGATATCACATCTTAATTCTTATCGCGATATTGTTTAACGAGTCCGTTAATTAATATACGATCTATGTAAACTTATTGATCCTTTGAAAAATTGTCGATTTAAAATGCAGTCAGAACTTTGACTATTGTCATCATTAGAGGGGCATTAGCTATCAAATTCATGTTCACCGATTTGTTTCAAATTCTCATATTTGATTTATAACATACTAAAACGTTTGTCAAAATTATAAAAAGTCTAAAATAAACAATTTACGATGCATAGATAATATGTATCAGCATTTCGTGTATATTTCAGTCCAGACGTCATCTAATTAACCATCGATGTGACCTCCGAAGACTGCCGACGGTCAAATAACCCGATATAAACATAAATATAGATATAAATGGATAACGAACACGTGCAATTGGATTTTTCTAATTCTGTTTGATTTCATATTATAGGCTTAAAGATATGTTGATAATCGTTTTTACCTGTATAAGAATTAGTTTTTGTGGATCGAATCATTCAACCAAATGGTTTACCCTTGGTTTACTTTCAATGTTGACATTTTTTTCATTTTTTTATAGCTGAAGCCTAGTTTATGCGTATACAATATCTAGTTAAGAGGTTGAATTAAAGGTCACATGAATACGGATTCAATGAAGTCGAATTATTCACTTGCAAGTAAATAATTCATCAGCGATGTTTCTTATCTTATTTTGATAAAATGGAACCAAACTGGCTGCTAAAAGCGAAATATTATTTCACTATTTCACTTTCATTGATGATTGAACTAAAAAAATCATATTTTATTTTTTTTTATATCTCGTAGCTAATATCCCTTTATTACTTGCATTGATTTTATTTCTTTTATAAATCAAAATTTGACTAAATATACATGTATGGCTGTACAGTTATGAGCACTGTTTGTCCTACATTTTTGTTGATACTTATATTTTGGCATTGCACAAGCCATGCTTTTTTCACGCTGTTGGTGACTTTTTAATACACTAAATACATTGGATGTGTATTGTTTTAAATTTTAGTTTGTAAAAATTTGGTTTATTTATTTATTGGCATTGAACTAACTTTCAAACATACAGAAGATTGCTACCTCATGTTTTTATTTTTTTATTATTTTTTTTATTTGGGGGGAGGAGGGGGTGCGGATTTTTTTTTCTGCTTAGTGTCGATCTAATCAATATACAATAAGGAGATTTAGTATGATAAATTGCCATTGAGACAGCTATTGAACAGAGTCCAGATGTTCATTATGGAAGGCAGTAGGATGACCTATAATTGCTTAAATCCATGTCATTTGGTCTCTGGTGGATAGTTGTCTCATTGGAAAGCATACCCCATATCCTTTTTTATATTGGTTAAGCATGTTCAAATATAAGTTTTGGTTTGAGCCATCTTTTAAACCGCTTCGAATGCAATTGGTGGTTTGAACCAGGTTTTACAGTGCCAAATAGCTATAAATTGAACGTGGTTGTTCGTTAAAATACACCATACATTCATCCATCAGCCTCCCTTAGTCAGAACTTGTTGCAAAAGAAATTGTGTTATCAGATAACTGGTCCTACTCCAACAGTTGTATTCGGTTTAATGTTCCTTGTGACGTTGTCAGATAACACGTGATTGCTCATCTATATATCCAGCACAATAAAAAGGGCCCGCATTGGCAAGAACAGTTTTTAGGATACACTCCATCTTTCAGAATGCACACCAGTAATTTACATTAATCTTCTTACTTAAGATAAATAGCTGATACGGATTTTCGCCACTACCTATATACTATTCAAAACCACTAAAAATACTAAGATGAATTACAAAACAATTGGCTATTTGTAACGTATCGTAAAATGCCCTTTCAAAAATCCTGGGCGCCATATACCTAATACTATTTCGTAATGACGATATTAAAAGTCTCAAATTGTAATCATTAAGTAGAATACAAATAGAATCAATTACCTGAACAAACAAAACAAAACAAAAAACAAAAATAAATAGATGTAAATAGCAATCACCTAACCATAAAAATAACGACATACGCGGTAGACAACTTAACAAATTAAAAGGTAGCTGTGACATGAATCATAAACATTAAACTAATCTGTTCATAGCAATTCATTACCATCATACACAACAAAGTATATGCCGGACATAACCGATATCGGTACCTGTAGTAGAAAAATAGGTTACACTTTCCATATTTTCATAAATATTTATTTTTATATTCATTCTCCAATTTGATAAGAGCACACGAACAGGTCACCCAACAATTTGTCAAAATTAATTCTAATAAGAATGGCAATTGCTCATCGGTATATTTTACCACAAAAAACATTTAAAAATTTTGTCAATGCTGATTATAAGAAATTCGAACAGAGACGTGAGCATAGGTCAACCGAACAGCAACCCAACGATTCAAATAACAAAAAAGTACGTAGAGACATGCTAAACGACATAGATTATACAGTTAACAACTTCTTTTGCGTAGAAACAACAGGTTTGGCATCAGCTTTATTCATTATGAAATACATGTAAGTTGAAATGCAGCAAAGAACTACTGTAACACATGTGTATCCCCTGGTGCCATTTTTTGTGTTTAAAACATTGTGTGTAATTTTTTATGATTTTTCTATTTTTTATAAGGTATAGTAGTATAAACTGTACATAAATCATATGGTTTACATGAATTTATTTCTGAAAATTTGTTAAGACTCGAGCCGCTTTAGAACCTAACATTGTAGACACCCGACTATTGTAAAAGACCGTATGTTAACTTCTGGATGTACTGTTGGGTTGGTTTTTTTTTCCGTCGCCAATGATTGTCGCTGTCTTATTGACGTAACCTTCACATCTCATTTTATTCATATTCACGTATCTTTCAAGTCTAAGAAGATTTTCAGAATCCATATTTCGTCTTGTGAATCTTATAGTGATGTATTTCCCATTTGGTAATAATGGTACAAATTTGAATCAAAGTTTTGATATCATAAATATTTGACTGAGTCAGAAAAAGTTATGTAGGAATAACATTTATGTACATGTAAAGCATCCCCTTTTCTAGATATAGAAAACTTCACTACAATGTTGTTTTAGAAATTTACCCCTTTATTTCTATTGGAGATAGACCATGAATTTTTTTAATTGTGTGATATCCCCAATTCTGGACTGCTGGATTTGCTAAAAATTGCTCATAGATTGAATTCAAACCATGCACACAATTTGAGCATAGTACTACTAAGATAGTTTTTATTATAACAATTATTTTACAGCAAAAATACCTGAAGAATAGTGGAGATACAACACTATAAAAATATTTTTCTCTGAACTAACTAGATGAATTAGCTATTATAATCCAATGTGGAAGTAGAATAGTATAGTTCTGGCAAAAACTCGTAGAGTGTAGAAATCTCGTATTATAGTTGTATAGGGAG